TAGGTTGCTATCTCAACAATTTCTGTTCCGCTAAATCCTGTTTTTGGAGCTATTTTCCAGATTAGGTTATTATAACTTTCGTTTGCATTTTGTGTGTATCCGCCGATGCAACGTGTAAGTAAATCTTCGTTGCTTAGATTTCCATAAATTGGTAATATGGCTTTAAAAACATCTTCGGGAAGTGCACGTTTATGTTTATAATCATTTAATTTTTTATCAGATTTTGCCTTTTGCCAGCTATCTGTTCCTTCCGGACAAAACTGATGCTGTGGGTAGGCGTCTGTCGAACACTTGTGGTATAAAGTTGCTAGAATTGCATTCTTCATTGCCTCAGTATTGTTTTTATTATTTCTTATGGCATTGCCATAATATTTGGATAATTCTCCAATAACTTTATCGGTCAATTTTCCTTGACCACCGAGACCTTTATTATTTTTTTTCGCGTTACGCAGTCGAGTGCTCATTCTTTTTTGTACGTGTCCTACGCATTCTTTTTTTATTATTAAAAAGTCTTCGCCGTACGGTTGCTTCTCCAAAATTGTTTTATATGTCTTGGAGTCTCCATCTCCAATGTAGTATTTATATTTGATTCCGTACTCATCCTGGGATCTTCTAAACATTTGGAGCATTGCGTCCGCTTCCATCTTGCCTGATGAACCTTCATGATTGGCTTGGCATTCACTTTCGTGATTCTCTAGTCAATCCATATATTGGTCGGTGCCACTGCGAGGTTCCAAAAGTTTACATGCAGCACAATAGCTGCATTTAATAATCACGTCAATAACTTTTCCGGTATGATGTCCAATAAAGGATGCGACACCGTGTAAGGACCAAAAGCGTCGTTTTCTCCAGGTTCCGTCTCCAGACACTACTAAACTTTCTATGTTTTCCAAATTATATATTTTTTGTCTTATTGCTGCATTCATGGACAATTTAGCGATAGCCGCAGCGACGTTGCGCATTTGCTTTACAAATGCATCATACGTGCGTCGTGCTAAAGGCACAGGCAGATCCATAAGTCCGCAAAAAAAGGCGCATACCACTGTATCCGATACCCAGATATCTCATGACTGCTGTCATTTTTGAATTAATATCATATATGACATTACTGCTTTTCAAGGATGAAGTAGAAGAATGAATAAATCTGTCGCTGCACTTATCGCACGACATTTTAATTTGGCAACTTGAATGTCCAGTTGGGCCATAAATGATAACAATAATTTGTATTAACAATAACAATAATAAGTAGGTTGCTATCTCAACAATTTCTGTTCCGCTAAATCCTGTTTTTGGAGCTATTTTCCAGATTAGGTTATTATAACTTTCGTTTGCATTTTGTGTGTATCCGCAAAATCTATTATTTCGTAAGTGAGACTAGACTTTTAATGTTTTTTCCCGACGACGAAGATTCACCTTCGTCGTTTCCACTATTGTCACTAAATTGATTTCCAAAAAACTTGTGTTTTTTCGGCCTGACTCCTCTGTTTTTTCTATCAGCTTTGGCTGTACCACTCATAGTTAATAGAAAAAATGAATGTTCAGTCAGACACAATATTGCTATCAGCGTACACGACACTGTTTTGTCTCTATCGTTGGATGCTCGAAGGAAGACTATTTGGAAATTAGGAGGAGTACAAGGAAGAAGAGCTGGTGTAGGCGGAGTTAAAATTTGTGGGTAAAATATTGGAGCGATAGAAATTCGGTGATTGGTTTTAGGATATTTGCAGAAAGATAGGGAAAGGGTAAAAGTTGGAATGGAAGGTCGAGGTGGCTAGGGTTTTGGAAAATCCCAGTAGGAGAGGAAACCGGACATCGGGGAAGAAAGTTTGTTAATTAGAAGATATGTGCAATGGATGGTAAAAAGGTGCTACGCGGTCGGTCGGTGCATGTTTCATGGGGGGTACGCTCGTCTGACGGTCTCGTGATTCCTCTGCATCGAGGCTCGGTCAGGCCCGCTTTATGATTTTAAGGAAACCATTGTTCCGTACGGAACAGTAACATTTCAGTGTAATACAATGTATTAAATACAACAGGGAATGAGTCAGTGGGAAACATATATACATAAAACGATAATAAACTCTTTATAAATACCAAGAACTTTTGTCTCGCTTCACGTCCATCGACTGACAACTAGTGTTGGCTTTATTGGTCCATATGGACGCGCCGCACCTCGGGGGGAGACCCCATATCGGCTTTAGCCTGCCAGATGGTAATTCGGCGTCTACTCTCCAGCTGCCGCTGCAAAGGGATGTGTCCGATGTAGATGTTGGATCGGACACGGGCTGGAAAAACCCCCTCTTCACCACTTAAGGATCACTAGAGAGGAAGACTGTCCCTTTCGGGAGGTGACTCGCTTCGCCGCGTTGTCGGCGAATCATAGGCAAGCCCCTGATTTGTCGACAACGCGTTGCCCAGCGGGGACCACGTGGAGGTGGAGTCACCAGCCTTCGCTCAGTCTTAAAAAAAAAAAAAAAAAGAAACCTTTTTCCACTGCACTTGCACTTTTGCACTCCACTTCCTGTGTCCCTCTTCGTTCTTGTGTTGCGGTTTCTTCTTCTTTCTTCTTTCCTTCTTCTTTCTTCTGTCCATCTTCCTTCTTCTATCCTTCTTCTTTCCTCTGTCCTGCCTCTATCTTTCCTTTCCTCACTACGTATTACGCGCTACCGTTGGACGCATTCGTGGCCATTTCCGCTCCTTCTTGCGGAGTATTTCTCTGACCAATTTGATTAGGTGCTTGTAGTATTTCTGGTTCGCCCAGATTTCTAGTGTTGGTGGCCATTGTCTTTCCGTTTCCACCTCCCGGCGGAATTCTCTCCTTTCTTCGGCGTATTCCACGCATTCGAGCAGTACATGCGTCGGCGTTTCCTCCCGGCCGCAGATGCAGTCCGCACTGGCTTTCATTCCCATGATTTGCAGTTTCGCTGCGAAATCTCCGTGACCAGAGATGAACTGCCTGATGTAGTGGTCTGGGGACAGCCATCTGCATTGCATTCTTTGCCTTACGTCAGGGAAGATGCTGTACGTGTATCTGCCCTTATCGGAGCAGTGCCACCTCGCTTGCCACTCGTTCGCGTGCGTGCGTTGGACTGCACAAAGTGGCGCCTCGGTTCTTTCTGATTCCGGGAAGGTGTAGTCCGGTAGATTGAACGGTATTCTATTCTTGTTCAGGTATCTGTACGTGGTTTATAATCATTTAATTTTTTATCAGATTTTGCCTTTTGCCAGGAACACCAGCTATCTGTTCCTTCCGGACAAAACTGATGCTGTGGGTAGGCGTCTGTCGAACACTTGTGGTATAAAGTTGCTAGAATTGCATTCTTCATTGCCTCAGTATTGTTTTTATTATTTCTTATGGCATTGCCATAATATTTGGATAATTCTCCAATAACTTTATCGGTCAATTTTCCTTGACCACCGAGACCTTTATTATTTTTTTTCGCGTTACGCAGTCGAGTGCTCATTCTTTTTTGTACGTGTCCTACGCATTCTTTTTTTATTATTAAAAAGTCTTCGCCGTACGGTTGCTTCTCCAAAATTGTTTTATATGTCTTGGAGTCTCCATCTCCAATGTAGTATTTATATTTGATTCCGTACTCATCCTGGGATCTTCTAAACATTTGGAGCATTGCGTCCACTTCCATCTTGCCTGATGAACCTTCATGATTGGCTTGGCATTCACTTTCGTGAGTTGTTCCGCACCATTTTTCCGTACGGAACAGTAACATTTCAGTGTAATATAATGTATTAAATACAACAGGGAATGAGTCAGTGGGAAACATATATACATAAAACGATAATAAACTCTTTATAAATACGAAGAACTTTTGTCTCGCTTCACGTCCATCGACTGACAACTAGTGTTGGCTTTATTGGTCCATATGGACGCGCCGCACCTCGGGGGGAGACCCCATATCGGCTTTAGCCTGCCAGATGGTAATTCGGCGTCTACTCTCCAGCTGCCGCTGCAAAGGGATGTGTCCGATGTAGATGTTGGATCGGACACGGGCTGGAAAAACCCCCTCTTCACCACTTAAGGATCACTAGAGAGGAAGACTGTCCCTTTCGGGAGGTGACTCGCTTCGCCGCGTTGTCGGCGAATCATAGGCAAGCCCCTGATTTGTCGACAACGCGTTGCCCAGCGGGGACCACGTGGAGGTGGAATCACCAGCCTTCGCTCAGTCTTTGTCTTTGTAAAAAAAAAAAAAAAAAAAACTTTTCCACTACACTTTGCACTTTTGCACTCCACTTCCTGTGTCCCTCTTCGTTCTTGTGTTGCGATTCCTTCTTCTTTCTTCTTTCCTTCTTCTTTCTTCTGTCCATCTTCCTTCTTCTATCCTTCTTCTTTCCTCTGTCCTGCCTCTATCTTTCCTTTCCTCACTACGTATTACGCGCTACCGTTGGACGCATTCGTGGCCATTTCCGCTCCTTCTTGCGGAGTATTTCTCTGACCAATTTGATTAGGTGCTTGTAGTATTTCTGGTTCGCCCAGATTTCTAGTGTTGGTGGCCATTGTCTTTCCGTTTCCACCTCCCGGCGGAATTCTCTCCTTTCTTCGGCGTATTCCACGCATTCGAGCAGTACATGCGTCGGCGTTTCCTCCCGGCCGCAGATGCAGTCCGCACTGGCTTTCATTCCCATGATTTGCAGTTTCGCTGCGAAATCTCCGTGACCAGAGATGAACTGCCTGATGTAGTGGTCTGGGGACAGCCATCTGCATTGCATTCTTTGCCTTACGTCAGGGAAGATGCTGTACGTGTATCTGCCCTTATCGGAGCAGTGCCACCTCGCTTGCCACTCGTTCGCGTGCGTGCGTTGGACTGCACAAAGTGGCGCCTCGGTTCTTTCTGATTCCGGGAAGGTGTAGTCCGGTAGATTGAACGGTATTCTATTCTTGTTCAGGTATCTGTACGTGGTTTCCTTTATTTTCAGATCTATTGGTGGTAGACCTGCTATTATCTGTAGTGCGTCCGTTGAGGTAGTGCGGTATGCCTTCGTAATGCGTAGAAGTGCGTGCCTTTGGGCCCGGATTACTTCTCTGGTCGTGATAGCGTTCAGCTTATCCGACCAGGCTGCCGCCGCGTAGGTGATTATCGGCACTATCAAGCCTGTGTAAATTATGCGTAGAGCACAAAACTTTAGTCCCCAGTCCCTTCTGGCTATTGCGGTTAACGTATTAAATTTCTGCATGCATTTAGTCTTGAGTTTTTCCGCGTGTGTGTTGATTTTTAGTCCGTTGTTGAAGTGCACTCCCAAGTAGCGTACGCTTTTTGCCATTCGGATCTGCTTGCCGTTTATTTTGATTGTGGGCGGTCTTCTAACATCTAAATTACCTTTTAGTTGAATCAATCGAGAGACATTCGCAAGGAGTCTCTCGTGTGAACAACACATACACACAGTTTCCAACCGTACGAGGAGACACCATAGTTTTCGAGTCGCGAACGATCAGTCGAGTCTAAAACAAAGTCGTCAAGCAATCACATCGTGACGCAGATTTGCTAACGTTCGAGCAAAGTAAACTTTTGAACTAGTTACCCAATATTAATTTGGCGGGTAATAGTCGTGAGCGCGAACACTTTTGAAAAATCAAAGGAGAACGCGACACGACATTGACTCTGAACCCGCTCTAGTAAATATCTTCTGTTGTGCAGAAATTTTTTTTTAAGTCATTTACTTGGTCTTGTCGAAATTGCCCTTTGTACTTATCAAACTTATTTGCATGTTTAGTCTCGTAGTGCCGTTTGATGTTATATTCTTTCAAAACAGAAACAGATTCGTTGCATATCAAGCATATGGGGGGTAATACTAATTAATAATAATTAATTAATTTAAATTACATAAATAAAACGTTTCAGGGTTTACTTACCTATAGAATCGATATGGTAGACAGGATACTTGGTTAAAGTAGTTTGAACTCTTATTATAAATATGATAAATATGTATTTTAACGTCGATCGCAAAATCTCTCCAGATGCAGTGGCGATAATAGAACGAAACTACAGAATAACACGGAACTTTGTCAAGCTGGACTGAAAGTAGTTATGAGTATGAGCCCGATAGCGTTGCGAGCTTCCCGAATATTTCAAATTTCTCTTAGCTATAATTTAAAAATATATGATACGAACGACTCATGATGTAATGCTCTTTTGGTGATATTTACAATAAAGTTAACATTTATGTTCATTTGACCTAGATCCGCGGGCCTCGTGTTGGCCACCCCTGCTCTACACAATCAAATCGTTGCCAAACTTTATCAACGTTTAGCGGCATATGACTCCTTTCAGACTTTTTCTCTTTTCGTCGAGCAGAATACGTTGATGTAAAAAAAAAATTTAACATTAATTTTCAATGTTATAAACAATTTTGCGGAAACTTTTTTTACAAATATCCACCGATCCAAAGCTGTAGATTCACCCCCTGGAGCCGTGACCATTAATTTTTCTACACCCTGTACATATGTAGGGGAGAGCGGGGTAACTCCGGCCAGTGGGTAATTTCAGCCGCGTGATTTGACTTTGTATTGTACTGCCACTTGGTAATAATGCAACTAGCTAATATTCATCGTTTCTGTGACTATAGTAGCCTTTTGTTTTAAACAATACCTAAATGTTCAATTTGTAACAAAACCTTGTAACAGTGGGCAATTTTCAAGCAAGGTAAATTAGTACTTAGAATCGACATAAATTATTAATATTAATCTCAATAAATAGAGGAATGTTTCTACTTTCAGTCACATTTAGTTTTTTGTTATATGTAAATTCCACAGTGTATTACTTAGCCGGTACTTGCCTCTGCGCGCTCAGTAACGGTAAACATGCCATAAACCCGTAAAGTCGACGTTTCGGCAAAATCGCCACGCGCGGCTGACACCCCCGTTTGGGACCGTCTCTCCCTCTCTGCCGCCGCCCTACTCTGTGGACCACGCGGGAGTGCACGAGGGCCTAGGAGAGCGGCTCTAGGGGGTGAAAGGCCCATGATTTGCCAACAATGTAAACCCCCCATTTTGGCGAAAACAGATATATACAGCCAGTTCACGACATTCGAGCAGATTCTAAGATACTTAAAAACAATCGACAGCACTTTGAGCGCTCTAACACGCAATACTCGACATTCTTGATACACCAGTGCGGTCCAGTCCGCAATAATCGACATCACAAATAAAGCGCGATCACCATCGCGACAATAAGTAGTTGGCACATACACGTGCAATAATTACCAACGCCAATTCGACCTTCCAACCACAAAGAAGCGCGGGAAGCTGCGTTAACAAGCTGATCTGTTTTACATAGCCGACCCTGTATATAAAGATTTACTAAAAAATACGATACCTTTGTATTTTTTATCACGTTAATTTCGTACGATTTTCTCATTGCCCATTTCACGTTCACAACGAGCGACAATTAAAGGAACACCTCTAAAATAAATCCTGCGTAAAAATATGGAAACTAAAATAAAATAGAAATAAAAAAAAAAACTGACAAATCTCACGTACACCTGGAAACACCATTTTACATCTGGCTGTTGAAGAGCGCAATAAAAAGAACAATTATTTTCTGCGACGTTAAACGTACACACGTCCAAACGGTCGCGTTTTCAACGCGCGATTGCTTCGTAAAAGTTCGACGAGAAATATTTGCGCGATAAATTTGTATTCGTTCGTTCGAATCGAATATACATAATGGGCCAGGGGGGAAAAAGGTGGGAGACGTATCCCGGGACGCGTGACTCGAAATTCAACACGCGCATAATTATATGGGAAAAACAGAAAGTACCGGGACGGGCCGCTTTTAATGAAGATTTCATTATAAATTACCGGTTGCTGGCAATTCGATTTTGTCTCTGTATCAAAGCGAACTTTGACCATCCTGAAATGCCCCGCCGGATGAGATTATTGGCCTGTGATTATATTTCAAGAATATTGAGTTTTCGAATTACACACAGGGCCGCCATGTTGTCCCTCAGATATCGCGAGGTGCGAGGTGTTTCGATCGAATTACGGAGTCTGATGGAATTCTTCTTACAAAGGCGGAAGAAAGTTTCAACGATGAACGACACCGTTTCTGGGTATCGAATATGTTAACAACAAATTCGATCCTCCAAAAAAGAACAGTTACGGTCGACAAATAGACACACCCGATTCATTTTCCATCTTCACCCGCCAGCAGCCAATCGGGAACCACGAACAGTTTATATACACGCCAACGCATCATTAAAAACCATGTTTTTACCATAGTATTGCACAGATCGCTGAACCACACAGTAAAATATAATAAAATCGCATTCCAAGGCTCACTCGAGTGTCAAGTTCGTTAGAACATCGTTCCAGCTAGGCTATCAGGAATTATTCCAATAACCAGCGGCATAAAGTACCGTCGCGTGTTATTGCACTAATCGCATATAGGTAAGTAAAAATCGTATACGCGATGACTCTCTCTGATTCAATTAACTTAATAATTTCTATATTTGTTGAAATTTCAGAAATGGTATGGTCAAACGAAAAAGTTGTATTCTTGATACAACTTTATGCAAATGAATCCATATTGTGGAATCCTAAGCTTCCAGAGTATAGAGACAGAAATAAAATATATTATGCATGGAACAGAATAGCCTCAAAATTAAACACGGAACGGACTGAGATGGAAAGAAAATTAAAAATATTACTGGCATAATATCGCAGGGAGAAGCAGAAATGCGAAAGATAAATAAAATCTGGAATAGGGACGGATCAAGTGGAGACATCCTTGTGGTGGGGTTACAAAACATTGGCAGTTTTGTTGGATAAAAATAAAGTTAGAACAACAAAAGATTCCATAAGGAATAAAACTGCAGGTAAAAATAAAGCTGTGAATATCGAAAGTTTAGCTGCACCATGCTTGCTTGCCGATATTCTTAATTATATTCATATTTGTAATCAATTTTATTACTTATTTCTAAACTGCGGATTTTTATGCAAATACATATTTTTGAAAATATAGTAATAAAAGTAGAACTCCGATAGAAAATTATTTCACCTACCAAGTATTATAAAAAGCACTATAATTTGGATATTTTGGATATTTTTTCATATTACGTGCACTCTGTGTAATTTTGCACCTTTAAATTTCTTATAAATGTATAAAAATCTACAGTCTACTTATTTCTAAGGTATACCGTATAAGATTTAAAAAGAAATGTACTTTATATTTCAGAAATCACACAATCGGAAGAAGAAACAGCTACGATAGAGGAAGAAAAAAAGAAAGATGAAGAAGGGGAAATAAATTTGGACCAAAATACAGCTACCGCCCGGAATGACAAAAAGAAAAGACGATCAACAGTGGGCCTATGACTAGCTGAGGCATACAATGCCATGAGAGACGTAACTTCTCAACCGCCAGACGAATTTTCCGCGTTTAGAGAATATATTGGCAGCAAATTGTGAAAACTTGAAAATTCAAGGATGCAAGCCATTGCTCTATACGAAATCAATAAAATACTGCTTGAAGCAGAAATGCAGATTGGGCAGCAAAGTCCTGGCTGTGAAAGCAGTACTGTTAGTGCTTCACAGGCGTGGTTTATGGCACGACCGAAAAATACAATTATTTTTGAGTTTCCGATGTTTTCCTTTATTACTCGCATGTGTCGACGTTCAGCATACCCAGAGAAGGCAAATTGTTTTGTTATAGTCGGGGCCACGATATAGCGAGGTCGTAAAATCAGTTAGGCGTCAAAGTAAACATGTTTTAGCTGCCGGGACCCCGAAATTGACAGAAATACGAGCAGATAAGTACTTGAAACCATGGTCAGGACCGTATACAAAGAATTCTTGTATCCAGCGAAAGTCAAACTGATTCTAATATATTTACTGAAAATTGAGTTCAGCTAGGACAATTTAGGGTTTTTTTCTTCTGGGAAAAGCCGCTTTTGGAAGTACGGTTACAAGTAAAGGTCTTATTGAGGTCTTTAACATCTTCATTTACCTGCTCGTGTTATATACAGATAGAAAATGCAAAAGGGTTGTGTAGCTGCAGAAAGAAATTACAAATATTTCAGATGGTAATTAATATTAACATATTTTCCACTTGTAAATGAAATACAATTTTCTCCTTGAAATACCAAATCATACGCTACCATTCATTTATTGTTCAAACAGAATGCGGCCTTGAGTGCCGCAACATCAGTCGGTGCCGATTCTTGAGAGTTTAGTTTACGACCTCGCTATATTCATATTCTCGCGCTCAATAGCGTAAGGACATGCCATAAACCGCGAGTTTCCGAAGGGTACATTTTTTTTGTAACGGTCCGCGAACCGATGAGTCACCCGACGGAAATTACGTACGGTTGCCCATTTTGCCCATCACCACCGTGACCGTCTCCCGCCCTTCCAAGAAGAAGCGCGCTTAGGGCGCTCTGGAAGGGCGTTGGCGACATAATTAGACACGCTGATTGGTTTTTGAAATTGTTCATCATCAGCTAATCAGCGTGTATCGTATTTAGAAGGAAGCGTCTGAAGGAGCATCAAACGCTCGTTTTAGAGCACAGATTGAAAACTGACTCGCTGGAGGACAGACCGATACAAATAGTGATCTAGGAGCACACTGCTCACTCATAGTATAGAATCATAGTTAAAATAAAATAGAATATTCTAGTCCCAAATACTTGGGTGGTCCTTCGAGAACATTTCATTAGTCGGCACACCACGTGCAAGCATAACCGAGCTCGGGAAAGAATTAGTTTAAACTGTCACAGGCTTGACAAGTACTTTCCCGAAGTATCAGAAGCGCCAAACCCAGAAGAAGAAATTAATCGCGACACGCCACTTGCAAACTACTGGCTACAATACATAAAACAAAAATATGTAGCTTTATATATGATATTTTCTATATTGTAGTGCTTTTTGTAGCGGCTTTAGTGTATGCGCGCGCGCGCGTGTGTGTGTGTGTGTGGGGCGCCCGCCGCTTTTTGGAAAACGGACAAGCGCGTCAGAGTCGTTAGTGATGATGTCGAGTAAAAACGTGTAGATAAATGTGTAGGTACAGTAAGTCAGTAAAAAAAGTCAGGGATGAAATGGAAGAAAACAAATGATGAATATACATTGTGAATGTATGTATATTTATCATATAGTAATATAAAAAGGAAAAAAATATTCCTAGGTACAGAAAAAATAAAGTTACTATAACTCAGGCTGGAAAACAGCTCACAGCTAAAATCGTACGGTACGGTATTCCCCAATGGGCATCCCCAAAAACAAATGAAAAATTTGAAATTCACATTGCTTTAACGAGATTACGTTGTTTTAGTCAGTTACTAAACGTTGCGTAGCGTTTTAAATTGGAATTCCAAATAAAAAGCGAAAAAGTATTGAAGATGAAACAGACAACGGTACAAGAGCAGCATATTGTCTTAAGAAATTTTGAAAGTGACAAAAGCTATCGTGAAATTGCAAAAACTATTAACGGAAGTGTTAGTACTATTTGGTATATTGTTGAACGCTATCAGGAAGAAAATAGAATAGCAAACAAAACAAAAACAGCTCCAAATAAAAAATTCAAGGCTCATGGTGAAAGATGGATAGTAAGGAACATTAAAGAAAATCAAAATGGGCAAGACTGTTAATCTGGAAACAGTAAGAAGAGTTTTATGATACCATAATTTTCATGGTTGTACATGGTTGAAACAAACCACTTGTTAGCAATAAGAATAAGAGAAGAAGATTTGATTTCGCAAGAGAATATTTAAATAAAGTCTTCAATTTTGGGAAACAAGTTCTTTTTGCTGACGAAAGTAAATTTAATGTTTCCCATTCGGATGGCAAAATTGTGCCAGCAAATCCAATGTAGCAATGCTACAAGGAATACAATGGAGAATTTTAAGAATGATTACAGATGCTCCTTGGTATGTTACAAACCAAACCTTGCATGAGGACCTAAATATTCCATTTGTCAAGGAAGTAATACAGAAAAACAGCACAAACATCATGAAAAAGTAGGAAATCACAGCAACACTTCATTACATCCATTACTGGAACAGTATAGCGAAAGAAGAAGCAGAAGACTGAAGCGACAGTGGCCAGCAGACCTAATTGTTGGTTAAGGAGGACTGGTCAATGGACAAGTTCTCATTACGCTTTAGGAGATGCTGAAAACAGTACCCAAGTCAGCATATTAGCTCATACAAATGTATTCTGATTGCTAATAAAATAAAATTAAAAAAAAGAAGATGGCAAAATTACAGTGTGGCATTGCTCAAATGAAGAATTCAAAATAAACAATTTAAACTCTACTGTTAAACATGGAGGTGCATCAGTAATGGTCTGGGGGTGCATGTCTGTTGCTGGACTATGTAATTTGAAGTTTATTGAAGGTAATATGGATAAGCACGACTGTTTTAAATTCTATAGCGATAATGATCCGAAACATACGTCGCATACGGTCAAAATGTGGCAATTATACAATTGTCCAAAAGTGATTAATACACCACCTCAGTCACCTGATCTAAATGTGATAGAACATGTTTGGAATGAACTGGATATTAAAATCCGAAAACATACTATTACAAATAAAAATTATTTAAAAAAAGCTTTAATGAAGGAATGGCACAAAGTTGACCCCAATTTTACCGAAAAATTGGTAAAATCAATGCCAAAAAGATTACGAGCTGTTGAATATAATCAGAGGAGTCCAACAAAGTATTAATTTTTAGTTTAAACAAAGTTTATAACAATTTTCTACACATATACGATTTTAGCTGTGAGCTGTTTTCCAGCCTGAGTTATAGTAACTTTATTTTTTCTGTACCTAGGAATATTTTTACATTTACAATGTATATTCATCAGTTTATTTCTTCCATTTCATCCCTGACAATTTTTTACCACATGAAACGTATTTTTATATGCGGTGTACGATTTTTGCTATGACTCATTTTATGTATAACTAGACAATAATAATATTAATACTAATAAATCATTTTCTCGTTGTAATCAGTCACAATACCCACAATATTGTCAAATATGTACATATGTATGCGTTAGGACATAAGCATTAGAATATAAGCGTTCGAATACTGCGTAGGATATTACAAAATAAGCGGTAGGATATAAACGTAGTATACAGGGTGAGTCATTTAACTGTGCCACCTAAATTTATTCGTAAACTATTTGTTGTATCAAAAAAATTTATAAACGAAAGTTGTTTGGTATTAAGCGGAACATACATTGTAATAATTAATTTTTTGTTAGTCCGCTCTTTTATCGAGATATGAAGTTCATCTTGAATTTTTGTATCATGATATGTAATCTTTGACCTTGTGGTTCGAAAGAGTACTGAATGATGAGTAAAAATCTATAAGGTATATGAGATTAAAAACTAATAATTAGCGAGATACTCCTTAATTAATGTTTAATGTAAGCAATGCTCAAAATGTTATTCATTACATGGAATACAGATGTCGGTCGGTTGTATGACAATACTATTTGCGACCAGAGCGGTCAGTTTCAAGATGCTTTTGTCAAAATCAGAGTTGCTTTTTCTTACTGAAAATAATTATTTAAAATATATATTGTTAACAAATATACGGAAGAGGAAACGTCATACAGTAGACAGGATAATATTCGGCGAATTTCACCACAGTTTATTATCAGCTATGAGAAAATAACAATCTATTTTGTCAGTACCTATACGGTTTTTTACAGGTTTTCCCTATATCTTACATATTTGCATATGTTTTATACATGTATGCATACTTTATTAACATAAATGACATATGCTTGTTACATATTTTACGTGCAAGAACATCCGAAATCTATTTTATAGACTTCGAGAGACTTTGTCGAACCACAAGATTGTTATACAAATATTTTGTACCACTATCTCCTATTATAATCGGAAGCTGTATGCATTACAGTGTAGAAAACTCCAGCCATATGGAATCATACGATGTTTAAAAAGGAAACTCAACATGTTGCTCAATTCCCTTAAAGAAACTAAAGTCACAAATCCTACCAGCTTCACCAAGGTCCAGGTTTTTCAGTTTCTCCATATCTTCTGATTTAAGTTCCCAATTGAATAATTGTATATTCTCTTCAATTCTCTGAGGATTCGTACTTTTTGGGATAACGATGATTTTATTTTGCACAATATATCGCAGTAAAATTTGTGCAGATGATTTTCCGTATTCCTTTGCTATTTTACATACGACATCATTTTGTAGCATATCTGGAATTTCTTCTGTTTTATTCAGTAATTTAACAAGCCCCCGTGAACCAAGCGGCGAATAAGCCGTCATAGGTATGTTCTTTTCTTTACAATATTTTACCTGAAAAATGTTATTTTAAATGTAAAACGTAACAAATATGTTAAGACACAATTGGTAAATTGATTTGAATCTTTAATTATTTAGAATTGAAAAATTCAGCTGAATTCAACAGTTTTTTGTTTTGGATTTTCGTATTGCTTTTTCTCAACGAGTTCTTTACCGGTTTGCAATGTCAACAAAGTGTGTTTTTATAAGAATGACTTTCCTCTTTTATTCATTACAATTTGTATATCCAAGAATATACATTGTATTTCAATAGAAAGTTATGTATCCGCATTGCAGTTTGCCATTTTTGTTGGTAAATACAGGGTGTCCCGTAACTCCTCGAACACCCGGAAATGGGGGTTGCTGGGGTGCCTCTGAACAACTTTTTCCTTTACCAAAATGTTGGTTGAAGCTTCGTTTTTGAATTATTAACGAAAAACACTGGCCAATCAGAGCGCGCGTAGAGCCCGCGTCCATTCACGGGAGCGCAGAGACTCATCCGCGCGCGATCGTGAACAAACGCGTACGCGTGACTTCTGGGTTATCGGTCTCTGTCACAAAAATTTGACTTTGCACCGGAATGACGGCAACAAACCATTTCTCTAAGCCTTATAAAAATAGCGGTGCAGAGTCACATTTTTTTAACAGCAACCGATAACCGAGAAGTCGCGCGTACTCGTTTGTTCACGATCGCGCGCGGATGAGTCGCTGTGCTCCCGTCACTGAGCGCGGACTCTACGCGCGCTCTGATTGGCCAGTGTTTTTCGTTAATAATTCAAAAACGAAGCTTCAACCAACATTTTGGTAAAGGAAAAAGTTGTTCAGAGTCACCTCAGCAACCCCCCATTTCCGGGTGTTCGAAGAGTTACGGGACACCCTGTATATTTAGTACTATGGTATTTGCAAGAAATATTAACAGTACATACAGTAGAACCTCGATTAATATGTTTGAATAATAATATTATCCGAATTGTCATTATATTATGACAGCTTTCCCTATACCAAATTTCATATATTTTAGACCAAACGATACAACCAAACAATGGAACACTACATAAAATCTTACGGGTCCCATCGTTCTTTATTTTTTACACCACTGATCGTGGATTTTCCAATACCATAATCTTGTGCTAAGTTCCTTACACACTCGCCGTTTTTCAACTTTTTAATAATTTCACATTTCGCTTCAACTGATAACATTATCAGTTTTCGTTTTAACGACATTATTATAGTTCTGTGAACGCTTCTAATGTAAATACCATACTGAAATATTGTGAAGAGGTTTCGTTTCGATAATTTTTATAGAAGAAAGTAAATACTGCATGGACTAATAGAGCATTCGGACATCAACATTTCCGCTAAATAATTGTTTAGCAAAGAAGTTATTTAAAAAAATGATACTTTACCAATTGTTTTTGTTGAAAGTAGACATGTAATTCAACTTGTAACATCGACACTTTTACTTTTGCGTTGTTTAAAATTCGCTCAATTTGGGGAATGTTAAAATTCGATAGTCCAATAGCCTTTGTTCGCCCACATTCTACTTGTTTCTCCATTTCAGTCCAAACTTTTACGGGATTCGTACTGTTATCGAGTTTAATTTTCCCATTTTCATCTAACGGATGTAACTCCTCTCCAGATTTTTCAAACGTGAAGGGCGTATGAATTAAGTAAAGGTCTACGTATGTTAATTGCAAATCTTGCAAAGATTTTTTAATCCAGTATTCGACGTCTTCTGGTCTGTTTCCAACTGGAGGAAGCTGCAACCATAGATTTGTTATCACTTGTAACATTCATTTTAATAATTATTTTAAACAGTTGTAACAAATATTAAATGTACATAGGCCACTTTTAGAACAGTATACCTTTTCTGAAATTGAACCAAATGACTTGAGTTTTTTTTTTGAGAAGTTAGAAGGATTAGATTACTAGATGACGTCTAGCAAAAATTTTGAAAAAACTGCAATTGCGATGAAATTTTCAGCATGTATATAATTGACATATGTAGATCTGCAAAACCTACGTTTTAAATTTTCATTACAATAGTGACCTTTACAATTTTCCTCGCGACTCCCACAAATCGCAATTTGTTCAAAATTTTTTGTACACGTCATCTAGTAAACTAATCCTTCTAACTTCTAAAAAGAACTCAAGTCATTTGGTTCAATTTCAGAAAAGTTATACTGTTCTAAATGTGGCCGGAAATTAATGGCCGCAACTGTATGTAAAATATTGCACGTTATTAACTTATAAATGAAACTATGTAATATTATATATTTATATAAAATTTATAATAAGCATAAGTGGTAGGAGAGAAATGTAAACGGTTTCTGTAATTTTTCTTGTGAAGTTCGAAATGCGTCAAAATGACGGATTCCGTAAACCTAATGTTCAAGAGATGAATTTCAAGCATTCTTATTTATTAGATTATAATTCAGCGTAATCACTGAGAACGCTTGTAATGAAGAATTAATCAACTGACAGAAAATTATGTCGACAACAACCCATATTGACCGTTTGAGCATGTCGCGCTCCTCGTATTCGATATCGAAAAGTGCCACCGCATGGGACCACGAAGTGTAAATTTTATTCTATTTCTTATAATCGGTCTATCTTTTTTTTTATAAAAAATTGAACAAAAATCCTGTACATAACCAATTTTTACTTTGTTTCGTGCTATTTCCAAACACTCGTATTCAACGAAAATGTCCAAAATAAAATTTTTGGAATTTTCCGACATCAAATGAAAAAAAGTACGATCGCGCCGCTTGGCATTTTTTGGTCAGATTTCTGTAATAATCAAACGGTTAAACAAATGTAAGAAATGCGAGATTCCGGCGGCGAAGTGGTGGCCTGGAATTTGTCACCCAGGAAGAGAAAGCGCGCGGGTACCTGAGGGTACCATAAACTAAGCCCTTTCCCCGGAAAGTCGAACGAGGGGGCTCCAACGGTTTTTCGGAGCAACGTGGGATACGACGTGGAACGAACATTCTGGAAATAGCCGTCGGGCGAGACGGACGCCGGAAACCTTAAGAATCGCTTAGGAATACAGAATAAATTATTTTTGGGATACCACACTATCCTGACTTTAATTCTTTGTTTTCAAGTGGTGCTTACACAAACAACACTAACAAGTGGGAAAAAATTGGGAAAGGGGTAGAATAGGTGCTAAACGTACTGATAGAGTGATCAAATAATCACACTATCCGAAAACAGGTACTGTTAAGGATTTAAACGAGCTCGCGTTCGTTGCGAGAGCCGTTTCATGTTTATGTTCGGGTCGCAGAGCGTGAACGTGAACCATTTTTTTCGGCACACCGCCAGGCTGAAGAGCACGGACAGCCGCACAGTGGTGCTATTTCACGAAAAGCTGGCCATAATTCATAAGTTCATACGATTTTCATAAAAATTGGTACTCTTATGTTTCTAGAGTTGCTGAATTCAAATATCTTACCAAAGATGCAAAATTCAAAATGAAGGATCTAATATGGTGTAAACGTTGTTTTTAAGTCAATTTTTGTGAAAATTGATCATTTTTCGATTTGTCTTTACATATATCATGGTATAACATATACAAAAATTTATCGTTCGCTAATACAGTGCAAGTTTCGTTTAAATCATTGAAAAAGCAGATCTCTCGAAAGTTGTCTTCCCGTATTGACCCGACCGCTCCAAGCCGAAACTTGGTCAAGTTATAATCTTGGAACCATTATTAAGTAAGACTGTATTAGTGTTTTGGATAAATTTTTTATTTCACATTAAATTTTTTACAAATATATTAACCTTTGCAGAGATATCGTGGATACGTTTTCGTGGGACAGACTGTGGATACCGCTACTTGGCACTTTAAATTTAAATATCTTAAAAAGGCGCAAATTTTCTCAATTGGATATAGTACCTGACATGTAACATTATATCAAGAAACTTGTCACTGCGTGAATATCGATGAATAACACTTTTGTTTTCCTTCCGTTTTATTAAAACATGACTAAGATTTATGATATATTGAGAAGGGCATTACAAAGGTAGATTCAATGATATTTTACTTTGTTTCTAGTGGTACAATGTTTTACATATGAATTTTTTTTGCATAAACTTTCCTGACACATTAAACGTGCTCCAATTTTCAAGACATTAAGGAGCATGAAAGTTCGTCAACTTTGACGGCCTATGTCTTAGTAACCAATCAATATATTTAAAAAATTCAAACGACATTTGATGCACCCATGTATATACAACAAATGTTCTGTAGTAGCAAAAAGCTGCTGCATACTTCGAAAATTGAATTTTGGCCACTGTGCGACGCCTTTTCTTTCGACGAGAGAAAAAACTCTCCGGTGCTGAAACCGTGTCCCTACTTCGTACGATTTAGCCGATCGGCTTTGCCAATATTTGTGGTATACATATACAGTGACTGTCACTTAAAATCGTACACCTAGCAGTTCGGCCGTTTATTTTTCTCAATAAAACGTGTACTAAATGATTAAAACCCATATGCAAGCATATAGTTTAATGCTTCTTTATTCGACATATGTATAGCAAAACTATAACAAAATGTTTAGATAAAATTTGTCATTACGTATGAAACTTAGCTGTCAGTGAAAATCGTACAGAAAGAATTAGATACATTTTTACAATAATATGTAACATAAATAACTTATATTAATATTTTGTAGGGTAACCAAATGCATTTTCAACACGTTTTAGTCGTCGAGGAACTGATTTTACCAAATACGTAGGCATAACATTTACTGACTATTACTAGAAATTTTATTCTATTTTTGTTCTACATTAAATAAAGAAGCATTGAACTATATGCCTGTGTATGAGTTTTAATCTCTTAATAGTACAATTTTCATGTTTTATTGAAAAAAATCAGCCGAACCGCTAGGTGTACGATGTTAAGTGACAGTCACTGTACGTCCCCATTTCATCGTTAAGGCAACAAAATCTTCAAATGTTCAACGAAGGACACTGCTATTTCTAATAATACATCATGTCTCTTATTTCTATCTTTACAATTTTTATTTTAACGGTTCCACAAGTTGGGTCGATCGCGGTACATATACACCTGTCCCCCGATTCACACGGATGATCGGTTCCTCAGAATACCGTGTAAATCGAAATCATGGCTTTTTGTATGAAAAACCGTGTAAATCGGGGAAAAAAGAAAATGCGCATAATTTAGTATGCATGAAAAATAAAAAATATTCAGGGTCAGGGTTTAGTTTCGAGCGAACGATCGATGAAGGCGAAAATAGCCGGTCGCCAATGAAAGATCCGCGGCGCGGCAGCAAACTTTACGTTACAATATGAATGCTTTTTGTATGCAAAAAAGGGGGAAATTCCGTTTATTTTTTGGTTTAATGCCAGTGTTAACAAACGAACGGTACTAAAAAATGACTGTACAAATATGTGCGCAGCATAAACTTTTATTTTTAACAGTTTATATTTCTGAAAAGCCGTTATTTTGAAAACCGTGTAAAAGTGAAATCGTGTAAATAAAGTACCGTGTAAATCGGGGGATAGGTGTATATTAATTTAAAAATTTTCATTCGACCACTCTCTCTCTCTCTCTCTGTCTCTCCGCCATGTTCCCGTACGTTGATCGCATCCGATAGCTCAATAAAATCTGACTGTGATGTTGAATATGCATCTCCATACACGCATCTTTTCTATGTACGTATAATTTCAACGAAACACTGCTGCTTTCGATACGATTTCTTTTAACGTTTACCGACATCAGTCGGGAACTCGATCGGCTTTTCAAGCCATGCGGCACAAGCCGAAACGCTGTGTTTACATTGCCGAACGACTTTACCGATTATCAAATGTCGAAGCAACGAGGACGTGGCTTAACACACACCGCGATCCTCGGAATCCACGAAGCAGTTAGTTAATCGTGTTTGTTTTCTCATCGAACATACTTCGTATACCATCAACCGTTTCTAAATCTAATTGTTGCAGTAAATCGGTATTCGAAAACTCAATTCGTGGCATTTTCCCACCATCGCGGAGTCACCACGCTATTTCACCAGCTACGAAACAGGTACATATTTGTCGTTATATAATATATAAAACGGAAAGAAAATTTTTTAACGGGAAATTGTAACAAAATAGGTAAATTCCAAAGATCGTGGAAATCGCGAAAACACAACGAATTGTTCATGTAAGAAAGGTTCCTTTGTATATAGGATAGAATAAAACTGGTGTGCTATACTATAATCTTCTCCAGCATGGCCGAACGATAACATTAAATACAGCACGTGTATTTATTAATATGTATTACCTTTGTGACGACGAAGACTTCAGATCGTTTAATTTTTCCAGAATCAAACCATTTTTTAAGAACTTTACCAATTATCCCTTCATTTTCGTACACTGGTGCTGCGTCAATATGTCTATATCCTGCTTCCAAAGCGACATTTAATGCACCCTGTAGTTCCTCTTCACTTGCCTTAAACATTAGAATTCACGTTTTCATTTTCACGCAAATTGGTTAATTTATTCAAAATTGAACATTGAAACTTTCTACAGTTATATACAGTTTTACAACTTCTTTATCTGAGCCCGTAATGAAAATTTAAAAAATACATGTTGTAGATTTATGTCAATTATACGAATGCTGAAAATTTCATCTAAATCGGTTAATGTTGGTACGAATGAAAATTTCATCGAAATCGAAATCAAATTAACAATTGTGAAAATCGCACTATTCCACGACTTTTGGCCTGTAACTGTAATAAATCTGAATATTCTTACATCTTTCGAGGCCTGTCGCTTGTTTCTCAGTCAACCGATTTCGATGAAATTTTCAGCACGTGTATAATTGACATTGATCTACAAAACGTATGTTTCGAATTTTCATTACAAGCTCAGATAAAAAAGTTGTAAACAGTGACCTTTACAATTTTCTACGCGATTTCCGCAAATTGTAACTTTTTAACACGTCATCTAGTATACTAATCCTTCTAATTTCTAAAAAAAAAAAGAAAGAAAAACTCGAGTCGTTATGTTCAATTTTTAAAAAGTTATACTGTTCTAAAGAGTATCCGAATATTGGTGGGAGTCACTGTATGTACATAGTACGCTTCATACTTGCAGTACCAATTCTGGCCGTTGGGGGATTCGTTACCAATACCTAATATGATGTAATTGCTTGAGAAGTTATGAAAGTTTAGAACCTTCACGACCGTAAGTAATCCAATACTGCATTTTGCATAAAATGTGAGTAAAGAACGAATGTTATAATTTTTTATTATAATGTAAAAAATCGATATTCTAATTTATTCGTATTTTGTACTTCAGCCAAGAATATCTGTACACAAATTTACATGAAAATGGATTAACATCTTGCATGAAAAATTAACAAAAAAAGTTCGAATTTTTAATATATTTTTTAAACAAATGAATTTTTCTAAAAAATAATTAGATAGTGCGTAAAGATCAGTTATAACATGCATTTCGATAATTGAAATAAACGTAGCATAGCTTTTTTTGTGGCATTATGAATTTCAGCAAAACTAGTGGTTTATTTATTTAAAGGAACATCAATGCTAATAATGAATAAGAAATAAATCATTGTGCCAGAAAATGTGATATTTCTTTTGATATATGTATACTCCTTAATAAACAGCATCCTTTTTCTGTGTATTTAATATTTGGATCATTCCACGCCAAATCGATCACTTTTTCACGTCGACATCAGGGATTTTGTTCTAAATGAAATATAATGTAGTACACGTGGAATTAGGGGGGGTTTAAGTCATCGTTTAGCTGGTTTCGAATCTGTTTAAAAAATACGAACCCTTGAATTTGCCAATTTTTGCCCATTTTTATGAAAAGGGGCTGTATCTATCAATTTTTATCTCAGAAACTATTGATCGAATTAAGCTTAGTTTTTTTGTTTCTATCTAGAAGAATTGCCCTATTGTAATAATATTTTTGTTGTTTGAAAAATTGATTTTATAATACTGAAAATCATAAACAAATTCTTATTTTGTAAATTTCTCTGTGATGGGCTAGAGGTGTTCAAATTAAGAAAAAAAGAGGGTCATATTCCTTGAAATTCTACCAACAAAATGAGCCCTTTTGCAGGATGTAGTCTTTAAAATTAGCGTCACAAGGAGCTGGAAAAGGACTGATGTAAGTACCTTTTTAAGTACGTTTTAGATAAGCAAGCCACATGTTCTGTTATTACAGTCGGTTGTCTACCACTTGTACCCCATAATAAGTACATATGTATGTACCTTTAATATGTATAATAAATGGCCCTATTCATACTTAAAGAATAATAAAATAATAGTAATATTAATAATAATAATATGATAATATTAATATTATCATTAATATTATCATTATTATTTATAATAATAATATCTTCTACTGATATTGTCTTCAGACCATATTGAAAGTACTATGGGGTACGAGCGATAATCGAAATATGTAGTGTTTAAAAACACGCGTCATTTTTAATTGTATCATAAAACGGTTAGATTTAAATAAGTACATACATATGTTAGTGGAATTAACAAAAGTACTTCCTCTGAAAGTTTCTATAAGATACTTTATGTGCCAAGTGTGATTTCTGTTAAGTGATGAGTCAATCAAGATTATAAATATATAAAAATTATAATTGTGTACAAGCAAATAACCTATCACTAGATATTCATGCCTATTTACGTATATACGTAAGTATGTAATTATGTACTGTATGTTTTTAAAATGGTTTAAAAAATATTAGTAGATTGTCAAGCTTGCTATACTATTATTAAAATATAAAAATTAAAGGTAAAAATACTAAAAGTTTTCAGAAATAAAAAGCAAATAATAATAAAGTTTAAAAATGTAAGGTTAGGACTGAGTAGAATACAATGTGTACGACTGATCTTCTTGAAAGAGGTGATTTGAAAAGTTCTATAAATATGGTGTTAAAAACAAAAACTTAAGGAGATGTACATACATTGTTTAAAGATTAGTACTATTGTTAAATGAGTGGTGATGCGGCTGGTTAACAATATAAAATAATATTTATTTCTTTAATAAAGAGTTACAAAGATCAGATACAAAAGAAAACATGTTGCTTGTGCCACGAATACTTGACTCGTGGACTGACAAAAAAGTGTTGCCACACTTGAATGAGTGGCAGTGCTGCCAATATGTGAATGTATAATCTAATCATTACTTAACAACTATTTACATTGCAAAGCTATAATAGGTATTCAATATGATTATTTTCTTCTATGTAAACGTCAATTTAGAATAATGGTGGCTGATAAATTTGTTGTGATGTATTTAATGAAATAAGTAGACAGAAGAGACAGTTAGGAAGAAAGTGGACAGCTAGGTTATTACTCTTTAAAAATAGAAATCTAGTGCTGACACATCTGATGATCTAGAAGACCATATAGGCCACATAGCATTGCTGTGATAAAGTACGTATGAGCTCCATCGTATCAAAACTGTATTAATTATATTATTGTTGTTGCACATGGGTCAGCTTTCAATAATATTGGCAGATAATTATTTAAAAACTTCCAATATATATATCCTGAAAGAGAATCTGGTCAATGCAATGGACTAACTACATAATTCCTTAACTTCTTGACATACAAAGATGTCTGGAATATGTGATTTGTTTATTATGCTTTGTAAACATTGATGTCTCTGAGACTACAAGAATTTTACACTAATTAAATTTGCTTTTAGTGCACCTATAGAACAAATATTACAAATATATAATTATATAGTTTCAGTGTGAGCATTAGAAATAATAATTCCTGCAACGTGTCTGGTTTGAATTTGTTGTATGAAAGTGACGATGATAGCCTAATGAGCTCTTTGAGTGAAAATGAACGTACAGCTGATAATTTTCATATATATTGTAATATTTGAGATTTAGATATGCACTTCAATTATTATAGTAGAAAAAATAAATTGAAAATAGTGATTTAGTCAAATATAAATTAAAATTAATTCATATATGTATTATCACTTTTGGAAAATTTGCAAGAAAAAAACAAATGCTGTAGACGTGTGATTACTATAGGAATGGGCAATAGCGATTGCGTTTCAATTTTTAAATAAAGATTCTTAATTTTCAACATCAAGCCACTCAATGAAAAACTTTAAATTCCGATACTGAAGAATAACAAAATATGTCTTAAAAAGTAAATGGAAAGTATAAAACCAGGTATGGAGACAGCAAAAATATTTCAGATTATTCATAATTTTGACCCTGAATATGTCATTAAAATAAATCAAACCAAGGTACAGTGTTATACTAAAGTCACAAGGAGTCTGTCAATTAAAGGGGGAAAGAATATGGAAACCAGTATTTACAGTTTACATAAAATGAGTCATTCATATATGGTGCAATATGCATTTATTTTTATATGAAAATTATTACTCAAAGCTTTTATTTGCTTTTAAGAAGCAAATGGAGCTTGGATTACAAATTTAGAAAGATATAAACTAAACGACATTACTTTCACAATGTTATAATTACTCGTTCAACATCAGGAAAATTGTATACCTCTATATGTGAACAATTTCTAAACAATATAACAACCCTATGTGAAAAAATGCAGCCTTTTACGATATTACAGGCTCTTGGTCTGATTAAGCCAATCTTGCTTTGTATGATTGCATATTTAAAGATGAAAATATTATGATAATATTATCAACATGCACTTTAAAAATCCTACTACCAAAATATACTCCAATTTACAAACTGCTTGATGTACATATACTTTTATTTCTAATTAAAATACTACATACAAAAACCACAAACATATTGGGAATTGAAAGTCAATGAAACAAACTTAAAATTAAAGCATTAATACAATCCATAGAAATACAATTTCTTGGTCATAATCAGTTGCAATTATTGATTTGTTACCATGATGAGGTAAAAGTAATAACTGCATTTAGCAATAACTATTTCGAATTAGTATTACTTATACACTCTACTACAAAACTATAAGACATGTAAAAAAATTAAGGAAAATTCTGTTTCACCAAGAATTTTCTTCTTCTTTCATTCGTAATGTTATTGATTACTACATATAGTAGTATTTTATGTAGTTCTACAAAATATCTAAAATTGCAGTTCAAAATCTTTCATAATATATATAAACATGTTCTTTTATATATATCTTTAATATATATATTTAATATATGGTCAAATAAACAAGAATAACCAAGCATGTCTGTTAAATGATTTTAGAATATTTTATATTCCAGCATGACAATGCAAATGTGCACATTGCAAAACATGTTAAAAATTTTCTAGAAATGAAATATATGGAAGCATTATCATGGTCTAATCCTCTGATTTCAATCATTAAAAACTGTTGGAGGATGCTCGCACAAGAAATTTATGCAACAAATAAACAATTTAATAATATAGAAGAATTAAAAAATTGTATTTTCAATAAGTGGAAATCATTAAATTAT